AATGACCCCATTGCTGTTCTTCCTTTTGTCATCTCCAGAGCAGGTTGCAACAGGACTTTGTGCCTGAGTGCTGCTTTATTTCACTCCTTTTCCAAGATGCTGTTAAATAAGTATTATGAAATAGTACTGTTTTAGCATAAACAAAGTTTCTAGAAACTTTACTCCCTGCCGAACAGTGCCTACAAAATGTAAGCCTCTTTTGCATTTCTATGACAATTGAGAATTAGGCACATCCGATTACCCAGCCTGATTCTTTACACCAAACTACTCCAAGTAGTTTCTTCTAGACAAGAGTTTGGATTTACAGCATGTCACTATAAACAGGCAGTACTAATGTACATTAGTCATAAGTAATGACAGTATCAAAAGATGCATGTTTCATGCTAAGTTTACTGTGTGGAAGATTTTATGGTTTCGTATGACTGAAAACAGCAGATGCACTAACACACTTATTTTAATGCAGTTTGGCACCTTCCTGTTAAAACTCCAAAGCTTTAAAAGTTTCACTCATGTAGGCTTACATAAAAATATTACAGATGAATGCCAATCTCATCTCTAGGTTACAATGAAACTCTTTATCATTCGGTATTCAGCTCTCCCAATACTTTATAATAGAAAAAAAACAGAGTTAGACTTGCTAGTAGCTTCTATGACATCAATTAAATGCGACACCAACTCAAACATGCAAATTTTCCCTTCCTGCAGATATGGACATTAGTTTAAAGACCATATAGCTCTCAATCACAGGGGAAAAAAAAAAAACCAACACCCCCTCCCAAAACCACACCCAAACCCAAACCCCAAAAAACCCCCAAACCAAAACACCTCAAACACCAAAAAAACCCACCCGCAAACCACCCCAAAGCCCAAACACCACCCCCCCCAAAAACCCAAACACCAAAAAACTCCCACCAATCCAAACAACAACAACAAAAACCCCACTGAAAACCAAATAGCAAAAAAACTCCCTGCAAACCCCACACACCTTAATCAAGATGACAGTTTTTAACTCATCGCCTATCTAAGGTTTCTGTCCTATGTATCCAAAGTCTGTGAGCATGAGCCAAAGAAAATTCCCTGGGCTTTATGTTCTTTCTGGAGACTGCCCCAGTCTCCCTTTTCAGCACTGGACAAGAGACTAACTTCTATATATTAGTGCATTAATGTGAACAATTTCGGGATAGAGGATTGCAAATTTTTGGTTTGGGCTTTGGAAGGTTTGTCCAGGAATACGCATTTTCTCTGTTTCATTAAGCCTGTTCTAAGGGCATAAAGTTACCTACAGATTTAACAAAATGAGTCTGATGACAGTTTAAATTTTACTGCATAGTATACCCACAACATCAAATACATAAATAACAAAAATCACTTTGATTGCCAAGGAGTCAGTCCTCCTTTGTGAGGAAAGTGGCAGCTATTTAAAAATGTAAAATGATGTAAAACTTGCTATCAGAAGTGAACAATGTTGGAAAATAGTTACAATACAATCTCACGTTCTAACCATCTAAGATGCAATAAGAGCTTACATTAATGTAAGTTTTCATTTCTTCACCGAAACAACCACTGGCATACTTGCTTTTACGAATATGGTTGGTTAACTGGATTATTTAATTTCTTTTATCAGCTTTCTATGTGTGACTACACTTACATTAAAATCACATGATAAAATTCCGTATTTTTCCCTTGAACCCACAAGAAATAAGCAGTTATCTTCCCAGAACTCTCAGCCTGCTAATGCTAGGAAAACAAATACAAGGATTTTTCATTGTTCCATTTAAACCAAAATGTTAATTTTATTTATAGGTTATAATTAACCAGGGTGGAGGGAGGGATATCTCACATCTTTGTTCAGATTAAATATCAAAAGGATACCATCCTATGCTTACCTTCCCATGAAGGTATGTAGAGATTGCCAGGCATGAAAAGGGAAAAGAAAATAGGCAAGACTTTATTTACTTCATGTTCAGTCACCTTCTGTGAAGGGAATTCAACAGAAGGAAAATCAAAGGGGTAAACAATTCAGCAATCATTGCATTGAAAGGCAACATAAACAAGAAATACATCAGAGCGGTAACGGACAATCTTTTAGAATAGCTCTCCATAGGATGGATGACTTTACCTTCACCACTTCAGAGTGCCTGAAAGATGCATTCACTGAATTAGATGAGGTGTGCAAAAATTGTAGTGACAGATGCCATATGAGTACCTAGACAAACATAAAACATATCTACCTGGCTGAGTGAACTACAAGGCCTGAAGATGCAGATTTACCTCTGTAGTCAGACAGCCGCTCAAATACATTGTGACTTCAGGAACTCCTCCAACAGCTGAGTAACTGAGCATGCACAATGATCAGTCCTCAAATAAATGCTGAACGATCTCCACACATCACATCTATAATAAACATTTCGTATCAAGACCTCAAAATACCACTTCACTTCTATAGAGTTCACTGGATTTGGACAAAAAGAAGTAAAGGCAGTATCTTGACAGCTATGAAAATGAGTATTTCCTCCGGAAAGGAAGGCTAAAACCACTGTCTTGAGCGTAACAATGTGAATAATAAAGTATTGTAGCTCTACTCACAGGACACCTTATTCTGAAACGCTCTCATTCAAGCTGACTTTTCCCACGTAACATGACTGAGAAGCAATGGTTCTCTTCAGACATGCTATAAAACAGATGACTAGGATTCTAAAGTCCAATACAGGGCATAACCCAAATACCACTGCAAGCAGGGGACGCACACCCCTTATTCTGCTGGGCTTTAGAGTAAGACAACAAAACTTGTGGAACAGAAGGATGCCTACACTTCCTCCACTTAGAAAAGCATTCCTTAAATTCAGAAAAAGGTTAGGACCTAAACTGTATGCACTGATAACAGCATTCAGAAAACTGACTTTTACGTAACAAAGTGTTTTCTTTAGGCATATGGTATGTCTTGAGATGTCTTAAGATTTATGCTTTTGCTGCTTTGATTTGTACCTCTGTAAAGTGCACTCTATAGCTTTAATTCTTTCTGAATGCTAAGACACACATGCATCCCTCTTTTTCAAGGGTAAAGCCTAATACAATTAACCAAGTATTGCTCTATTTAAGCAAGCACTGCTGTAAATCTTGTAATGAAAAAAAAAAAAAAATCAAGATTTGTTTCCTTTTCATTTTTTCAGTTCAGTTAATTTTAACTAATGTCTGTCAGTATTTATTGTATATGTAGTGAGGAACTACTGCTGATCTGATCCTATTCCAATCATCTATCTGTACTGCTATACACGCTATCAAAACAGTAGGATCAAACTGGGTTTTTTTGTGTGGTTTTCAAATTCCAGTTATCAGAATTGTTGCAGGAAAACAAACTGAAGTCTGCATTTATGCTGACTTGCTGCTGTTACAATCTGTTCCTATCCCTTTCTTGAAAATATCAGTCCATTTTAATCAGATGCAGCCCTTGAACAACATAAACTTCCGAATTCCCAAGGCTGGTTAGTGACTACTTACTTCTTGGACTTCTCAGCTCCGCTGGCCAGCGCTGCATCTGACACAACCCATTGATTGTGTCACATTTTTCCCAAGTTTTCATAAGGTAACTCATTGTCCTTCACCTCCCCCTTGCATCTTTCTTGTCACAGATAGAAACATCTTATCTTTCATAGCCCCCTCCTTTGCCCTCTATCCCTTTGGTCATATCTGGAAACTTGGTGATGTAAGTATCCTCCACTGGCAATACTTGGGAAACAACATTTTAAACATCTTACATAGATTGATTCTAGTACTATTTCTTTAGACTTTATGGTCAAATAAGAAATACAAAGAGAAATAAAAGCATCTAGCATTAGGTATTAACAGACTGGAGAGGCATTTGCCACAGTCAGTGCAAGTTTCAAGCAACAATTTCAAAACAAGAGATTGAATCTGAGAAAATTCTAGCTATGTGTGAGGATGTGTAAAGAGTCAAATTCACATGAGTAAGAGACAAAATCCAGATAAAGAGAATCATTAGAGTTATTCAGTCACACGTAGTTATGTCTGTTGCATTTAAAAGGCAGCATGACAAGATTTGTCGACTGATATTAACAGAAAAAGGATGAATTACTTGACATGTGGCAATGAAACTGCAGGTACTGCTTAAAGTATCAGAAACTCAATAAAATTCCCTACTTAAAATAGGGATGTATGAAAAATAAGATTAGACAGCATTTGAAACTAAGTGATGTGCAAAAGGCTGGCAGACAGAATTACTGGAGATGTCAGTCACGACACACATCAGGGATAGTCATGTCATTCATAACAGTAAAACCTGACTGCGAAGTCAACTCCAGCCAAGCTATTGCACAACTCATCGTTTCTGCCCCATTTGTGATTGAGCAGAAATACTGATGTAGCACCAGAAGTAAGTCATTCTCACAGCCCCTTGAGCTAGTTAATTCTTCACTCGTGCTTTTCAGGCATTCAGTGTGTATGTTAGCTCAGAATTGCATTGTTCTCATGAGAAGGGAATCAATGTGAATATAGCAGACCACTACCTCACTTCAAACAAGCTTTAGTCATGTATAACCATTGTCCTCCAGCCCCACTATCAGCTCCCAGTCTGCAACTAGTGCTTCTTCTCAGCAAATAAGCTCCAATTTTTCCTCTCCTTCCCTGGGTAACCGCAGAAGTGGAAACAGGACTAAAAACACGAGAGAATGACTAATTAATTTCCTGGGTGGGAATGGTTCTGCCATAAAACAGGCATCTAGAATTGATCATTTTTATAGTATGTTGCCAACCCCTTCTGTTTGAGAAACTGTCTTAGCAAGAAAGACCATATACCAGATTTGTGTATCCACACATATAAACACATATATCTACATTTACAATTACTTCAAATTGTACCTCTACTTGGGATGGGTAAAGCTTCCACAAGCTAACTGATGATTCTTGCTTTGCAGACATCTTGGGTTAAGCATTCAGAAAGTGCAATGATGACACTGTAAGCAACCCAGACACAAATGAAGTCCCGTTCTTGAATGCATGAAGTACTTATACTAGAAAGACTCTACACATTAAACTAAGAAGTCAAAAGGCAAGTCACATCCTATCCAGAACTAAGCACTGATGTTAGAGAGGTGCAATGTAATGCACAACTTTCATGTCAGCCTTTCAAAATTTCATTTTTAGTATGATTTTCACTAGACTTGTTTAAGTAAACTGCTCTGAGTAAGGGGTTGACTTTTGTTACACAGACCCTGGAGCAGACTAGACAACAAAATTGTGATTCAGACAGAATCATAATTCATTTCCCAGTTCAATCCTTCCTTCAAGGTAAAGAAACAAGTTACTGGACTGTAACATATGACTTAAACAGAAGTACCAATTGGTCTCCCATTACCTTTCTACTCCTTGCACAGCTGGGCAGCAGAAGCAGTTATAAAATTACAGTGAGAAAAGCCAGTTCAAATCCCTTTTTAACCCTTTATTTCTAGTTCTGTGGGAGCAACAAAATCATTTTACAGTTACAGGACAATAGAGACTTGTAGAGGCAGCCCTCAGAGCTGGTTGTGTAATTCTCCCTCATGAAAGTCGAAGTATTCTCATAGTATATGACGAGCATGTAGTTGCTGCTTTTACTGCACAACAGATCAGTAGATTACCAGGTTCTCCCCCCCTCCCCATGATTTGACAGCCAAATTCTTTTTACTATTATTTTCTGTTCAGGTTCCTACTGAACCACCTCCCTAGGAACTTCTCTGTCACGTTCCAATAAACTGGTTCCCTTCCAACATCTTCCAGAAACGTATGTGTGTATTTTAGCTGCCAGATGGAAAAAAAATAAAAGCCTCAGCAACTAAGTAGTTGATCAAGCTTAGAGTTCAATGCTTCTCAGTAGCTTTTCTGATTCTTGCTTAAGTTCCTGATGTTACCCACCTTTCTCCTTTGTTGCCAAAACTTTCTAGCCTGCTGACATCTAGCTTTTCTGATCTCCTTTATGAGGAAGTTATTTTGCTAGGGGAGATAACTTGTACCTCTTAGTCAAGATGGATAATGAGTAATTATCGTTTCATCTTTTCTCCAGTTTCACTCGGCTGTCAAAATTGCTAACTGTAACACTCCTTCATATTAAAACACAATGTATTAAAAAAGCATGAAATTTGACAGAAATGTTTCTTCTCAGTTTCAAAATTGTTAAGCATACTCTTTCACAAGGTTCAGCCTGTTCCATGAATATGATCCTAAAACTGCTGATAAAACTTTCACTTTATTTGCATGAACACTCATTATGATACTTATGTACTGAGCCAAAGGAAGAGGTAATGCTAGACTTTCTATATTGAATATGCCATGAAAGCCTCATATTGAATGATCAATAAAGAATATAAAAATTAAGCTAGCTGTAAAGTAACTGCTTATCTATAGTGAGTGTTAAAAATCTTTCTTCTTTTTCACTGTAAACCACCATGTGTGTGTGATCCTAACAACACCTTACTGACCTGTTTGGTGCAGGTGATCTCTAGCCAGCTCAAATAAACGCATATGCATGTTTGTGATGGGGTTAAAGGAGCCACAAGCTAGAAGAATGAGAGGTATCCTGCTCTTCATTCTGACATCAAAACATTAAAACTCCACCTTAAAGAAAAAAAAAATTATTAAAATAAAAGACAAACTTGACAAAGAGCAGTCTGGCCATTGTTCCTCAAACTAAAAGGAGTGCTGTTTTCAGAACTGAGTATTCCTGAACACTAGTAAAGTATCAGAAGATCAGTCCTCTGTATCATCACAGCATACAGGAAGTTCTAGCTCAGAAACACATACATTCTTTGATATTAATTAGGAGAGCATCAACAAATTCTGACTCCCCACGTACAGAGATGGCTAGAGACTATTTATAGAAATTAATATTGTCACTATTATTAAAAACTGTCAGATTTTGTACATGTTTTTTATTTTCAACCTGCTTTTGTCAGAAAACAAGGTTTTGTCCTGTCTTTCTGTCAACTCCCTATTAATAACTTTGGAACCTGTAGGCCTCCTACAAAAGCAGATTTTAATTTTTTTTTTAAATAAGTTCTTACAATGGACCTTTGCAAAATATGACAAAACCCCACATGCAACACCCAAACCTACAGGTCTGACTTAGAGGTGGGCAGGCAGCAGCTGGTGGCTGGCCAGACAGCCAGCCGGCACATACTTCTAGCCAGATTATCAGCAATTGCCTGTATAGTTTCTGTGTTGGATGGCAAAGCAAATGCAGGGAACGACAGGGAACAGCAGGGAGGAGAAATTATAGCTGTTACATGAAAACATTGGGGACATTAAAAAGCTATGAATAGGGTAAATGGGTGGGAAGCAATGCTGTTAGGAGCCTTGCAGGTGCATTTACAAACAACCCTTATATAATTTAGCTAAAATGTCAGTCATCTCAATAAAAATGCAGAGGAAATCAGTTTAAGTAAGTTAGTCACTGTGCTTGGAGCTACTTATTCGCATAGCTCTTTTTACAACTGATCCAGAATATATCCGGCATGATAAAAACAGTTGTGTCCCACATAGGTATCTGTGAATCCGATATTTAGATGGGGCTTTCTTCCTTTCCTAGGATTTGAAATCTCTACAATGCTCACACCCATATATCATACATACACCATTCTCTTTCCTTCCCCTGGCCTCCAGACTTCTCCATCAAGTGTAACGGTCTTCCTGCAGAAGACACTTGGCATCCCAAACTTCAGAAGCCAGTCTTGGGTTAACAGACCAAATCTGGTACGAATTCTGTGCTCTGTTAGCCAAATCCTATTCTCTATCTGCTCAGAGCCTATCTCTCACTGTTCCAAGTCCTTATACTCCCTTTTTTTTTTTTCCCCTTTTCTTACTTAGAAAAATTTAACAATAATGGTTAAATTTATATCAAGTTGATGTTTTATAGCTGCCAACTCTATCAGTTCTTTTACAGAGGATTTATAACTCTGAAGACCATTTAACAGCGTTAAGTGCACCTAGCAACAAGTTTTAATATTTTCACTTGTGGCATGTTGGCAGTTTGCAAACTTTTTATACAGAAAACTCTTTGAAGCATACATGCTATCTGTACCTTGACCATCTAGTACTGAATATACATATTAAGATTCTTTTATACTGTTTTCATTTTACTTTACTCATTTCTCATACCTCCATCATACTAGGGGAGATATACTGGGGGAGAAAAGACTCGCTGGCTGTAGAGCCATTGAAAGTTAGCAATAATTTTATGGTCTACAATCGTAGCAGCTGTAAGAAGCACGTTTCACAGCACTCTCTCTCTGTACTCTGATTTACTAACCCCGTATAGACATTAACAAATCATACGTGAAAATTGTATGTAAACTTTACAGGTTCTTTATTCAGAAAAATCAAACTCAAAGTGTTCTTTTGTTCAATATCAGCAATTCTGTAAATGCATCTTCATTGGATGGGGAAAGGTCTTTTTGCCTTGAAATAGGTAGCAAAACACTAGTATCTGTGATTAACTGAAAAAGAAATCATTTCTAGAACATGTCAGTGTTCTCTTATAGTCCCAACTTTTTGCTAGATAGATTCTGTGCCACAGATTAGTCAATGCTAAACCTCAATGATAAATCAATTTAATTCCAGACCAGGAATTTTCTAGAGGCAGAAACTTTTTATAGTAATAACTACAATGATGTTGCTCAGCATTCAGCCCTGCAAACAGGCTTATATAATCTTATATGACAACCTAAAATCAATGACACGGTCATATTACCCAATTGCCAAGCAGTATCACTCAAACAAATATGTGTTCAGGGGGAAAACCACATAACCATTCTTCCCTATTACACGTATCAATAGCAGGTCTAGCTTTTACATCTGCTAGTTGATAGCTCTGACATCCTCTCTTCTGTTCTGATGAAGCATAGTTCACATTTCCTTTGCTGTTCTTTTCCTTGCCAGCTTAAAAGTTATAAACTGAGTGATTTCTTTTGTTTTTTTAAAGGAAGCTTTTAATTCTATAGACTTCTCTCTTTCTCACCTGAAACAGATGTGTTGGATGGTTTGATTGCCGCTCTTA